TTTATTATCATCTAAGAAAATATTTTACATTTTATAAAGTTGTAATTTAGTTATTTTTTTAATATTTAGTACTTTGAAATCAACTAAATACCACTTTTGTGTAATCATGAAACCTTCCTTGTTTGAAAAAGTAACACAAGGAATGAAAAAACAAAGTAGGAACATAATAGCTGAACGAAATACAGTCTTCCATACCCCATATGTTTTCTTCATTAGTGCCGTTGTCTGTTCAATGTAATTAGCCTCATGAGACTATCATACATCCTTTGTTTTTAAGGGTAATTAACAGATAAAATTCTTGTAGATGAATAGATTGTATTATAAGTGTAAACTTAGCAAATTCATCAAACTTTCAATATCTTCTAAGAACTAAATTTCTTATCACGAGTTTAATACAAAAGATAATAGAAGTGTAAATAGATAACTGTACAATATAATTTGATAGTTTTATAGTTTTTTTTTTGTAATTTTTGAGGTTCATTTATTTCCAGTACACGTATTGTTGTTCTTTAATTAAGACGGTATATAGGAAAATTTATAATCTACTATTTTTTTGTCTTTATGTGTTTTTCTTTGATTTAGAATATCGTTATAGGGTCTAAAGTTGAGAGGACTAATTTCACATACGAGATTCTCACTATACCCTTCAACGACTAAAGTTTGTTCCTACAAGAATTCACTAGGACTGGACAAATTTGGAATCGGGATTGAGTTGTAGTAGAAATCAAGTTCCAAAGTGGGCATTCGGCTCATCCCTCCCTTCACGGTCGCATTCCTCTTAGCCATAGAATTTTCGGGCCGCCTTGCGCAGCTTTAGAAAGTACAGAATTTCAGAAAGTCATTCTCTCCAACTTTTTCTTCTTAATTGAAGGTCATAAAGATGAAAGATTACCGTATTAGTAGTGTCCAAAATAATAACAAACTAGGATTAAATGGAAAGAAACAAGAAAATAGAAGCTCTATAGTTGTTGAGTTTCTGTGACCAAAATGGTCTCTCATGATTTTTTTTATTAGTTTGACATAATAGTAAAGTTTTAGGCGATCTTTTTTTACTCTCTCTATGTAATTTTATTTTTTATTGCATATTTTTAACAACACCAAAATACATATCATGCAATGCATTCTCCAGGTAAAACACTAAAAATAATAATATCGAGCTAAAGTATGTGTATTAGTTTTAAAAGGAATAAAAGGAATGAGTTCTTGTCATATCTGGACACCAGATTTGTTGGTAGAATAAATGATACTCTTATTTTACTCCT